GGTTTTTGTGACTTGCTTATTCTAATGACGACGGTTTTGTGACTTACCTATTCTAATGACGACGGCGTTTATAAAATATATCGTCGACTTGAAACTCACAAATGCAACTGTGTTTAGCCAAACCCAATCTTAGTGTATTTTGACACGAAAAATTTGGAAATTAGAGAAGTGATACCATAATTTTCATTACCCGTTCAAAAACGTGTGTACCATGCAGTTTATAAAACTAATTTAAAAATGGAAATGTCTTTTTAGAATGTAGTAACATTACAAGTAATGTGGCTAAAAGTTGAAATGCAGTTATATTTTAAGTTACACAATAATAAATACAATGTTTAATATATATTTTATACCAACCACACCGTGACTATGTCAAATATAATTGCATGAGGGCATTACCGCAGTCGATATTCGGGCTGAATACCATCATTACAGTATTACATCTCTAAGGCACTGCAATAGCAACGGCCCGTCTGAATGTGAATATTCTAAATCATGAATGAGTTTGCATGTCTGTATTGCATATATTAGAAGGTTATTTGCATATTAGCTTTCGGTTGTTACACCAAATGATGTACTGGCGTATGAAAACATCACTCTCTAAGATGCGCCTTGTTATTCACATGTTTCGTAGACCTGTGCTATTCAACCTCGGGCGAAATCGGTTAATTTGAAAATTCATTCGGTACTTTTCGTTGACAATTTACACATTCGTTGGCAATAAGAGTATTTATACAACAGTGTACATGTAGTAGTATTTTCCTTCGCCACTCATGGGAGATCACAACCGGCATTGGCGGATTTAGAGGGGGCCGAGGGGGCCGCGGCCCCCTCTATTTTTAACAACCAACAGGGCTTCGCGCCATCGGCGCTCGCGAACTTGGCCTTCGGCCAACTTATCGCCCCCCCTATTCCAGAATCCTAGATCCGCCCCTGACCGGAAATGGGATTATTTTTACCAGTACGTATGTTTGCTAACCTGTGCCTCATTTTCCCCAAAAAGATACACACTGATAAACCACAAACCACCCATCTACCAATTCCAGTGGCTAGCAAAGTAGCAATTTATGTTGACTAATTATTGTCGTTAATAAACCGGGCTATTCTAGTCTACAAAAGGAAATATAGTTCCACGAGAGGGGGCCGGCATGTTGATGACGATTTGCTAAAAATACAATCTACCAATATTGTAGCCTTCCTGACTGTGACTGTTCTTTCCATTGCATCACAAACCCGGAGTTGACTGTGCGCCTTCCCAATCAACAGGTATGTCTAATGTTCGTTATTATAAACCCGCTATTTATTTCTATGTTGTATGACTTGAATCGGTGAGGTTGACGTGCAAATTTGTACGAAGACTTGGGTGGATTCTGGTTGCTAGGTTGATGTTTTCTAGGAATGTCGAAGGCTGTTCACGTGTGTGGCAAATTGTGATAGGCTTATCTCAAGCTTTAACAACCTGCGTTTAGGCTCAAACATTGCGACCAAGACATACTCTAAACTTTTTGACGTAAATATAACATGAGTTTTTGCTGAAAAACTGATTTTCAAATAAATTTACCCCATTTTTTGATAATATTCGGACTTTTGGAAAAGTCAAAACACCTTTATATTATAGAAACGCCAGGAAGATACGATGTGTTCTCGTTCTATTCGAAACTCTCTGTTTATTTGATGTGATTGATCAAGGTGGACCAACAACTGCCAAACACTTCATTGTTGTCTTATTTTCCTGTTTCAATCATGAGTAACTGTCAGTACCTTAAGTACCCTTTTTCGGGGACATGGGGGTCAAAAGTTGTATATTTTCATAACAAATTGAAACAAACCTCTCCATTTCCTAACAAAGAGAAGTCAAAACTTTATGACCCTTAACGCTACAGTCAGTTCCATAAAATGCTAAAATGGTGAGGGGGGGTCTTTAACGCGCTACTTATATACGTTCACTTTTGTGAGTCCCCCCCCCCAGGACATGTCACCGTACGCACATTCATTCATTTGTATGTTAATTATACCTTAGTTTGTAATCGTGTAACATGCTTGGACAAAAACATTAAATAACTAGGCGTTTTTTCTTCATGGTTTAGTTTTTACCCCAAAGAGTTAGTAAGATTCCTGAACGGTAATTATGATAATGATTATTAGTGTAATTTATTGAATACATCTCGTTATGAATTATTGTTAATAAATTTCCGAAATTTATTGTAAAATTCAGTTGTTGTCAGCCCCTTCCTCAAGACGAAATAATTTCACAATGTCGAAAACGGAAAGTTATTATCGTAGTGTTAGGATATTCTTTTCGATAAAAAAATTGAATAAGTTTCTTATAAGAAGGTTTTACACGAGATACACGAGCGATAATTTGTGTCCCTAACATTAAATTAAAATCATCTTTACATGTCTTGCAATATTCAAATCTGTTGATGTTGTTAAATAAATATAGAGTTTGTAATGAAAACATATTTGCCCCATTACACATGGTCGTTAACTGTCGTTGATGTGGAATGTCTGTGTTGCTGATTCTGATCCATGTGTCTTTGTAATATACGATGTTAAATATACCAGTAACCCGTACTAATTGAAAATTACCATCTGCCTCACTAGTAATTATAGTATGGTGGTTTTATCGTATTGAATTCTAATGAACCCGCTCATGTGCCATTCATAAAAAGAAATGTTTGAATTCAAAGTATGGTCCAATAATTTTGTTTTGTTGAGAGTTCATTTAAGGTTTTTTGCATTTTATTTCCAAATTTCACGGTGATGTTACGCGCACCGTAATAATAAAACATATTTAGATTTCGTACCATGCGCTTCAAGTTGTGAAAAGGATTTCTTGTGTGGTGTGCAAATCGATATAATATCACGTAGATCAATCGTATTTTAACATTAATTCAATAAAATTAGTTTATTTAAATATATCGTTTATACGTGCAACTACCTTGGTATTACAATTATGAGTGCACTTTAGGATAGTCCTCTTTCCCTCTCACATCCCAACCATCGCATTCCAATGAAACTTGTTACATAGGTGTTCTGGAAAAGAGCACATACCCAAGTATTTTTGAGTAAAACCCGTGCATATCGGATAATGTAACTTGTAATTTTCTGATGTCTCAATAACCATTTGTCGGTTTTAAATTAAAGAGTACTGTTGGATGAATCGCAGACTGCAAACCACATATGTACAATCACATTTATTCTTTTTGTCTCAATACTTCAGATTGCCTTCACATTGTGCATTACAAAAATCTAAATAGCCGCTAGATTTGTTTCTTTAAATGCTATGATTAATGATTTTAAATCCTTTTTAAGTCACGTTCGTGATTATAATCTAAATCAAATTACCTAAATAATAGTATAAGTAACAGAATGAAATTACGCTTAGAAGTTTGTGAAATACGATATAAAAGACACAAGATATCTCTCGGAATCTATCGACTTTCTTCTTTGATTTTTGATGCGTGAGTTTTTACATTGTCTTTAAACTATAGTATAAGACTGGTATGGAGTAAGTTGAAATCAAATGGACAGCCCAAAACAGTAGCATGACTTTTTTTGTGTACGAAATCTTAAAATCCATGAGAAGTGTTTTGACAAAACATGTTATATACATGTATTTCAGTTTACACGTGATTCGTAGAATATACAGTAGTGGGTAATCAAGATGCTAATGGGACAATTTCTCATGGAACTTTGTTACAAAATATCGGAAGTTTTAAAATCATCTGTACAAACATTAATTGATTTGGTGTTTTCTTAGATATATTCCTTTTCGCTAATATAAAATATGAATACATTTATATTTGAGTGTGTGGGGGTATGGGGGTGGATCACGCATATAGAAAGATGCGGATCAGTGATAGGTACTGACGTAGTGACGTCACAGACACCTGAGCATACTTATGTAGGATTTGCATATACATGTAGTCTGATCAATGTTATCTAATCTTTCTTTTACTTTCAGATATATTTTTTCTACTTTGGCCTGTCATTGATTTCAACTTGACAACAAAATGCCAGATTCCAGAGATCTCGATAGTCCTGGAGGTAACAACAGTCAAAAAGATAGTTTGGGGTTTAATGATCAAACACCGATCTTATCAGCCCAACAGGTGAGTTCTTTGATAGAATTGTTAGAAACACTGAGTTAGACTATAGTTATCGTCTTTTGTGCAATATATACTAATAGTTGGTCAGAGTGTGAAACAAATAAAGATAAATTCGCAACAAAAGATTTTTTATTTCTTTTATATCTGAACTACACAACTTAACGCCAAATAAGCGAAATTGTACATCTTTATCTAGCAACGGGACGCTTCGTCAATACAAAATATTCCTTTGATCTTCAATCTACGTAATTTTACATCACATTGACGCTTATTTTCTACAGGACACTAGTTATATGAAATATATTTGATGTCGGATATAAAGCATTGGGGGTCTCAATATTTAAGACGTATTTATCTTGAAGTATTCATTTAGAATCCAGACAATTGAAAACAATGTTTCGACCCCACATTCCATCACCAAAATAAATCAATATATTACCCTAAGATTAGCAACAGTGCATCACAAATATGAACAATCTATTTATCAACAACACACCAAGCACAGTAGCTGTTTTATTGTAATATTGTATAACATTTGTCAAGGACATAACAAAGATTGAGGAGTGTGTCGCAACGAAGAATAATGAACTCGAGGCACAACATCAACAGTTTTCCACTTTACAGGATTGATTTTAACTCATGATTATTAATTCATACTTTTATCTTGTTATGTTATGTACACGTCACAAAATATTTAAAAAAATACCAAAAAGGAGTGTATTCTATAGTACATTACATTTGTTTTGTTTCAGTCATCTATGAACGGAGATGATCTCCGCCGAGTGTTTGCGACTGACACACCAGACGATGGAGACAAACTCAGTAAAAGTGACCGATATAAGCAATGGATGAAATCAGGACTGGGTATATCTATGGCTCTGACGTCTGGATGTGCATTCGCCGTGGGATATATGTTTGCAGCCTTGGCTTTGATGACCCTCTTGCCATTCCAGACGGTATTCATTGTCCAGGGAATGATTGGTCTTATTATGATTCCACCAATCATTTACTTACGTATCGACTTCCTAATGAGCACAGCCAGGCAACGATTGTTGTTGATTGGCAACGGCATTGGCTACACAGTCGGAGAAGCCGGTTTATACTTTGCGTTGTCCCATCTGCCTATTGGTAACGTGAACGCCATCTTTATGGGATCTTTGCCAATTATTACGGCTATCTTAAGTACGATATTTTTAAGAGAACCATGGAAATTGATTCATGCTTTTGTCGCCGTCGTCAATATTACTGGAATCATGTTGATTTCCCAGCCTACTTTCTTATTCGGAGGTGAAGCTTATGAATCTACCGCCAATGAGACGATGAACGTGAAGGCATTCGGGTACCTCACGACTATAGCGGGCGCTACCGGGTACGCCGCTTCTTATATTACCTGTCGAGCACTCGGTGAGGGCGTGAGCATGCTAACAATCATCCTTTGGGATTCTATCATTGCTGGCATCATGTGTAGTACATTAACTTTTCTTACTGAGTCGCCAAAATGGAGCATGAACGGCAGACTGTTCGGCTTCGTCGTGGGAATTGCAATTTTCGACTGTCTTGGCCATTGGACCGCTTTCCGCAGTGTCCAGCTAGAAAACGCCGCCACCGCCAGTCTTCTGTTCAACTTTGAAGTCGTGGTGTCCTACACATTGGATTACTTCGTTTTCGGAACTCACATTGGATGGTTCGAGATCGGAGGTGTTCTGTTGATCCTGTTCAGCGCAAGTGTCATATCAGTTGTGACATGGAAAGCAAACCAAAATAAACAGTTTCTTGATGACGCGGAAAATGCCGAAAAAAACGGATACATTGAATTCAAATCTGAGAATTGAGTTGGGTTTCACAATTTCATAAGTTGGCAGTATGACAGAGGGACGTGAATACTCACGCTGGTGTTAATTTGCCTCACCCTCCTCCAAACAAATTAACACTCACCGAAAAGCTAAGTTGTATCCTCAAATTGTATTGTCTGCAATTACAAATACATCATTCAAATATAATAATCTATTTGTTGGACATGAGACGTCGCGCCCAGTCATCGTCACAAAATATAATCCACATATATATATATGTATACAAACATCGAGTTAAAACTCAAATAAATACAACAACAATGAATAGAAAATAATAAACATATATCTGCAATCTTCATTCCGCTTCTATTAGTTTTTTTTTTACTTCACACGAGCACTGAATTACGGTTTATATACGTATATACGCATTGCATACGAAGTTTGTTCAGAAATAGACCATACCCCCAGTGGTACACACGTTACCGATGGAAAGGAAGATCTATTCGTTCGTGCTTACGAGATCGGCATTTTATCGCACAATGCACCTTGAACTTGACTATTACTAATACTGTAAGATAATTGTCTAAGCTGATCGAAGAGCCATGTATTCCGAGGATGTGACTTTCATCCTGTAAATGATATACTGTGAAACATCTAATTTGCATGATCACTGAAGGTGACACATTCGGGTAGTTTTCTAAGACAAGTTTACAGAAATGCACACAGTTGTCATTCAAGTTTAACTGAGATATATATTCGGTAGGTCATGTAATGCATATTTCACTACGCAAAGTTCAAAGCGGTAATAATTGTAACTATCGATAATTTTTCTCAGATTATTATTTTTAGTAAAACATTTTCTGTGTCATCAGTGTCAATCTGTAACGGCCATTGCCGAAATGTGACACTGAAATTATAGTATTACGCTCTATACCAACATCACTTGCAAGTGAAAAAAGATGGCCGCGAGGATGTACCCAGGGTTTCAGAGGGCGCCATCTATTAAAAATATGGTTGTCAAGGGTGATTACGGTAAGCCTCTCTCTCTGATGGCCTCTCACTGATGATATTACCCCGGTATGTGTCATTTCCCATAATACTGTGCGACGTGTATTATAATACTGTACATGTATTCAACGGTCCACACCACGTGATCGCTTTCAACAAAATGGCGAATACTCGACCCTTAGTTTTCACATCGCCTCTTATGTGACCTTAGTTTTGTGTATGGTCACTTTGCTCATGTATTTGTGTGTTAAACAATATTTTATAAGATTTGACCACTGTTATGTGGTTATATTTAAGCAAAAAATGTTAAAAATCACGGATGTAGCTTTTTTTTAGCAAAGGTTCAACGGTTGTTTTAGCTACCATCATATATACCATATATACTATATTTTAAAATCAATTTTTACAATGTGCTTGAACAATAAATCTCCATTTGGATATTTGAAAACATTTCTCCCAAAAATACACATCCACGTTGTGACCACCGCTAAAGATCATCTTTCTTTTTACTTCCCGCAAAAATCGCACGACACTGGAGCATTATTAGTCGTCAAACAATAAATATATTTTATACATTATGAATAAAATAATAAACCAAAAAAACAAAATTATCGTGCAGAAGCATCCAATGTTCAGTACGCCCCCAACAGCAGGTCTAATAATAGATACGGTATACTTTTACGTTGTTTACATTAATTTGGGAGTACGATGTAAAATGTAAACTTATGTTTCATCAACCTTAGGTGATGCCAGACGTCAAAATTGTACTCTGTCAACCCAAATAATTTACCGCAGTTTATATAAATCGACACATACCATAACGATATTAGGCAATCGCGACTATAACATCTCAATATTAAGTGGGCGAATCTTGACTGAAAACTGGAGTTGCTAATATATGTAACCTCTTGTGCGTGAGTTAGATGACATCGCCACATAATCCAAGAAATATACGATCCTAGTATGAGCCTTAAACATCATACAGTCAACTTTTAGTTTCGATGGGTGTGATTCGGGGTCGCCATTTTGATCGCACTCGTCTGTAGAGATTAAGGCAGGCAAAGTCGAATATTTCCACGATGGTTACGAAACTAGCCCCTAGCAACAGTCCCATCGATCCACCGATATCACCTAGAGGTAAATAAATAAACAGAACATATTTATTGGCCAATAATCATTATTTGAACACTACCTGACTAGATGTATTATAGATTTTTTTACTTTGCTGTTTGAGTTAGCTATTTGATATTGAATGTTGATACACACATTCAATTATGAATTATCATGAACTACGTACGTCATTTTGTAACACATGGACCTTGCAATATAATAGCTTTGCTGCTAATCATGTCAGAGTCGGGATAAAAGTTATTATCACAATTCGTTCGATGAAACGAAACTATGATGTTTTTGCTCGGGGTAGGTAGAAGCTTTGGTCTATTTCAATTCGGTCACCGGTGTATACGAGGCGATGTATACCGGCTAAGTGACGTCATGTCCGGTAATCGACAAGTGTACTTACTAAATAATTTAAAGAGTTCATATTCGACTTGGTGAGTAACTTCTTTAAAACTAAGTTCTTCATAGAATATTTCTAACTTTAAACCATTCCTTCTATAAAAAACAGGAGTTCAAATGGCAATGAACTGACATGTAACAGTGAATTAGAAATGTGACATACACTTTGTTTGACTTCATTTTTAAAAGTTGATTTTTGTCAATTGTTTGGAATTGTGTAGTAGTCTCTAAATTTGTAATTGCACAAGATTGAGTGTAACCACAACATTTCTATTATTGTACCATCAAGCAACGACACAGTGACGTAATGGGTAAAAGTGATGTCGTTCAAAACTATGAAACTGTGTTTATTCTCAAAAACATCATTTTTTGTATTGACGAGCGACTAAATGCTAATACAATATCGGCGTCCTTTCGATATCATTTCATCAATTTGTGCCACGAGAGTGCTTTGTCACTAGAGGGCGCACTGGAACGTTGGTTAGGAATCGGAATAGTGCAGTCTCAGACTTAAAACGATATTAAAATTATAATATTTTTCAGTGATAGTAAATTAAAAGAAAAACTGACTTGGTTATGTCTTTGTAAACTGGGGTTTTCACTAATTGTACCCCTCTAAAAACGTACCTGATATAATCAGAGTCACTATTGTTTAACAATTTGCTGTATTCATTCGCTGCGAAATCCGATGGAAATTGGGCGTATGAAAGTCGGGAACTATAAATAGTTCTTTCGCATGGCACAGGACATTCGCACATATCTTTGTGACCCGCGTATTCACCTGTGAATAAATTGAAATATGCGAGAGCTGTCGACACTAAGAGCAGACGAAAAGCGCGATCACGTGATTGTGGATAATGAAGAGCACTCGGAATTTCGGCAGGATCTCCCAACAAAATGAGCAGATTGAGTTCCGATTGTTTAAATAGCACTTTTCACTTTTGTGTTTTTCTAAAATGTTATCAGCAATTTGCGAAATTGTGATAGAGTAAGTACAAGCATAATATAATATGTAATTTATTTTAAATGTGTGATGTTTTCACTGACTGTTCGACTAGACACACGTTTGAGCGAACGAAAGGGGAAGACTGGCGGATGACGTTTCCCTTCACAAACCCTTACTATTTCTGTATATGAAATATACATTGGATGGAACGACAGCACGGACGGCTGGTGACTTACCTAAATTCGGAAGGTAGCAGTTATACACATCTTGCGGCGAGCAATGTCGCACTTGACCTGCAATATCAATTAAAACTGATCAATGTCTTAACAGTATTTCTAGCCTGGTTAACCTCCTCTTATTTCGTGGATCCTTAGACCCTATCCATAATATGGCACATACAAGGTGAGCATATAACAGTATTCCAAGCATTAAACCACAATGCTTTACTATAGGGTTGAGGTGTACTTGGATGATGAAGGACCTGAATAAGCATGAGCTTGCCGAAATTCGTGAGTCAATGCGAAACTACTGACAAGATTGTGTCTGACAGGAATGTTTTTTGACAGCATGAGTTTATGAACACCAAATTTATATATTTTTTACCGATATTTCAACGTTTTTTGCTGACTTTGTTTAAATATTGTAAAATGGCATTTGTCCTGACTTTTGCCATGGTAACAACATTTTAAACTGGTTACAGTATGTAACAAATTCACTAAAAGTAACATTGCATGTATTATTAAAATATTGTTATTAAGACAAATGTGAAAACCTGAGACATTGGTCATGTGATTCTAGATACTAGTAATAGTATATGATTTCTTATACACAACTTGTATAATTTTGCTGTGACGTTGTGGTCCTAAGCGACAACATTAAACATTGGTATTTCATGATAGAGACAGAGAATGTAACTTTACCTGGCATATAAGCTTGTTTACATCCACACCGTCCTACAATAAAGTGTGTCAAGCATTCCAATTGACATTTAGACATAGTATAATCACCGTAGAATTGCAACTTCTTGGATTTGCATAAACCGTAAGGATTCGGCAAGCTGCTTATCTGTTATGTGTTACCAATGTGTTAAATACAAAAATAAGAGAAATGGGAAGAAAGAAGGCACGGCGATAAACATTCAAGGCCGTAGGAAACAAAAATTAGTTCGTCTGGCCATCAATCGAGGGCCATAGGCCCGAGGCGTATGATGACGTGGGTCGAAAGACCATGTCTGCTAGAGGCGACGTGTAGAAGTGGTCCGGCTATAGCCGGTACGGTGCCTACGGCCTTGACATTTGAAACATGCGGTACTGGTTTTTGTTTTACTATAAATAAATAAATGAAAATTCAGTTGTGATAACGTACTTGTGAAGTAATTCTGTGGGTTTCAATATTTCACAATTAATTCACCAAACACAAATTGTGACCTACCCGACCCTTAATGTAAGGCGGATAGAATATAATAGAATATAATAGAATATAATATAATAGAAAAGAATAGAATAGAATAGAATAGAATAGAATAGAATACCACGCTTTCTAGAAGTCGACCAGCATTGAACCTAACCATTGAAAATATATGATTACAAACCCAATTTGGTTGTGTGTATGTCAGTAGAGATTTGCTATATTTGTATAATAAAAACAAATGCAATATACATGAAATAATTAGGCCATTAATAATACTCATATAATGTGTTTTGACAGTGATGCATTGCAGTGGTAAATGCAGCAGTCGTGCATTGCAGTGGTAAATGCAGCAGTCGTGCATTGCAGTGGTAAATGCAGCAGTCGTGCATTGCATTCATCACATGGTCTCAAATACGCCAGATATCTTCAGAAAACACGTATGTGTATTTACAATGCAACTATCTACATGTCTCAGTAGAGCTATACTTATCAACGTTATTCACTATTAATAGGATAGTAATCGTTAGTTGTAGTTACGCAATCGAATGGGTACAATAACTACCAGTAAATATATTGGATATTACAACCATAAACAAATATGTCTTTCTGGACTTTATACAAGTATTTTTTTTTATAATCTTTTCTTTATCTGAAATCAATTTAGCCCTTGGCTGCAAGTTTTTTTTAATTGAATAAATATACAATTTTTATACGTACGTACCTTTGTCATTCTTAATCCAATTAGCGTGTGCGTACCTGGTGACACGGCAAATCCGAGGTCACTGACCAATGGTATGTCACGTTGGTTATGTATAGCTATTTTCAGACCTGCTGACTCGCGTGGTCCTCGGCCATACTCCCCTTGTTCAATGTCGACATACAACGTAAGGCCATATCGTGCCCCTGAAGTTAAAAAAGAAGATCCTAATTCCGTTGTTAGTATTTCACCAAAAGTGTATGGACTGGTAAAAGTTCAAATCCACCAAAACAAATCCCAGTTAAAAAAAACGTACCAGATGACACTGACACATGCTTCAATCGTGCTTTCCCATAATTCACGTTGGATACGTCGGATAATCTTATATCCCAAGTTTTAGGTATTTCGCTACTACTAAAGAAATACACTCAGAAATCATCGAAATCCGGCAAGAGGGAACGGGTTAATATAATGTGCAAAATTCTGAAATAAATTATATATGATCAATTGTTTTCAAAAGTGTTCCCATTGGTTCCTATAGCGGAAACATTCTATAATAGGTCAACATTTCCTAATAAAATATATGTAGTGTTATGAGGGCTACATATGGCTGTCACAAAAATTGCATATGTTATCTTGAAAGCTCATTTTCTCTGTAAAAAAACTTTAAATATATGAATAACCTGCTATATGTGAATCTTCACACAACATTTGTTGAATGATTCACTGTGACCATTTATTCTGTGATTTATTCTATATGTTATGGTAGAGAACTTAATATGTGACCAGGCTTTATAATTCCCACAATCCTTTGTGGCATTGGTTGATTACGTGCTCTGTCCGAGATGGGGGCTAATCTGCAGTAGCTTCGATTAATTATTTTATCATTGGCGCCTATCCCCTCCCTGCAAACCTCCTCCCTACTAACCACTTCCCCACTAACCCCCTCCCAACTACCCCCTCCCCTAACTCCAACACATGGTGTATCAATCATTGAACCTAAACTAATCAAAACCGACGTTCCCGAAAAACTGCAGATCAGCGGTCATTTCGAATAACCCCTGAAGATTAAATGGGTCATGTCCCCTATGCTGCGGTTGGAATTGGCTGTACTTCGATATTTACCTGTATTGTCGACTCTTAACGGCGCCGTACCTTCCAAACCTGAGTTGAATGTATGACACAAGCCGTAGTCAGTGATAGTAGTCGTGAAATTCACAGAACTGCAAGCACTGCTTTTCCAATGACACCTAAAATACAAATACTATCATTTAAAAATTGCTTATCGGAAAATGCCGCTGAGGGAGCAAATGATATATAATTTTTTTTATAAATCTATCCCGAACAACATTATTTAAGTTACGCTTCATTATAAGTAAGGGAATACTTATTTTAGTCTATGTTTTTAATTTTACTTGAATATCATTTGAAAATGTCATGTCTTGACTAAGATTGACACTAGGATAAGACAATTTCTCAAATATTGATTGAAGCGTAAATAACTCACAGTGTCACATACATAGTACATAATGGGTGAAATATGTACAAATGTAATTGGAAGAAAAAGTAACATTTACAAGTAATATTTCCCCTCATTTTAGCTGACATATTGCAAACGACAGAATGATGTAACTTGAAATGGTTATTACAACGTATATGATTAATCTATTGGTCGTGGGCGATGATTAGTTTAAATTATTGAAAATGCTCATTCTAAAACTAGATTACGTTAATCCCAAGATCGTTGTGGTTAGGCGTATTTTCGAAGGTTCTGGTCAAAATTAATTGATTGTTGTTCATTACCATATTGTATGTTTGTGAGCATGGAGATATTTGTATGGTACGTGTCCCACAGTGAGTGGCTTCACAGGGTGAAACAAGGCGAGGAGAGAATGACGTGATCTGAATATAAATATCACGGCTATTTTCAAAATAAAAAAAAAGAATACATAGACGGAGATTAAAACTTACAATATCACCATATTTTCCTTTTGATGTCCGTACCGCATAAGCAAATCCGTCAAGTTGGCGACTGTTGTCAGAGTGAAGTTCTGAATTATGTTTTCTGGAACGGGCGAGGTTTTTTCGGTTACCAATGGATACAGCAATTCCAAGAATTCAATAGCATCATGGCCTTCGTAATGTTCCAGCTCTAGGCGTCTATTTAAGAGCACCGTTAATATTGTTAATCGAAAATATATGGAAGATGTTAAACTGTGACATGTTGCTGCGTAGTTTACCTATATCGAACGCACGTACAGGGAATGGTTAATATGATTATTGTTTTATATCTGTTTAACCTGTGTTTAAAAATGCACGCGCGTTAGCATGAGACATATATAGAAAATATGTGTACGCTTTCATTCGGCACTAATCGCCGTAAACCCGAAATGATCACGATATAATATTCAAAATCAAATACTTGCATTTTTCATAGGCGATACAATTTTAAGTGACCCAATCATGGAACGACATATATGTTACTAGTTAGGTTAATGCTGCTTGGAGGAAATTTTCTGAATAAAATATATATTTGCTTCTTGCAGTGGTTGTACTATTCTTCACTGGGGGCAATCGTGGTGAACATTCGATCACAAATCATCACAAAATGTACGCGAAATAAACAAGGCAAATTAGCCATGTCACACTAACCACGCTTCATAGAATCCGAGGAGTTTTCGTAGCAGTAAAATATAATCTACCCGTGTGAATCGAAAAAGTTAAAAAGATCATCACTGATATCACCAATATATTGGACCATCATCCCCGGTAGCGATCCTCATTTTACACCATGTAAATTAATCGATTTAATAAACCAAACACGAGAATATCAGAATAGGAAATGACGTCATTATAGGTGATTAACGAGAATATCAGAATAGGAAATGAGGTCGTTATAGGTGAGTAACGAGTGAAGGCAGACCTGTTGACAACGAGGGTGAGAAGTATGTGAATCACTATAAGAACCGTTGTGAGGTCAATGTTTTTCCGTAGTATGTTTCAAATATTACAGAATATAAATAATGCATACAAACAAGAAGTTATAAAATTAATAATAAATCCTTGATATAAACAATAACTAATAAATCCTTGATATAAACAACTACGATAGCATACATATCGAAAATATTGAGCCTAAAGCGCCATTTTTGTCACACAATGAACGTCAACTGACCACAGTCTTTATGATGTCGGTATTAAATATCCGCTACATTGAGGTTACCTTATGCTGCCGCTAGATATATTATAACACTTAGTATTGAACTCTCTCAGTATTTAGCCAACAGCGCTATGTTACTGTTGAAAATCATAAATATGGTTCGTGTTTTGTATTAAATGATCACAAGTAGGAATATACCCCATAAAGTGACGTCATCAACAATTCATTTCCATCTGCTTTTGCAGCATGACTACAAGCAGTCCCGTAGGACAATCATAATCCCCGGATTTACAGTTTCCCGACATGCACCATTAAGATGTATAATTTCTCTACAAGTCGCGCACTCTAACGGCGAAGCGTCTCTGTGACGTAATATATAAAGAGGCATTACTTTGATTTGTGGTCTAGTGGGATATATAGTAAATTCACAGTGTTGGGTATGGAATTTATGTCAGGTTAAGAAAGTTAACTGCAACTGTTTATATTTATATTACTGTAACAACAATAGATTACGTTACCACTACAGTATAACCCCACTGTAACGTGTTAAATTAATCTTGACTAGTTTCCTTATTTATGTTTTAAGCTTTCACTTTTATTTTTTGCAAACGATCAATCAACAATGAATTATTATTATCATTAGTTCGTTGTTCTGTGTCATATTTTATTTATACAACATTATAATCAGTGTCTGTACTTGCTAATAATGCAAACCTATCAAATATTGAATGTTCCGTGTCCCAAGTGATACAGACAGCATCTTATGAACGTTAAAATTATGAACATGAACAGGTGCAACTGGATGATTTGTCATGGAAATAATGGTTCCGTCGTATATGGCGGCCCAGTTATGTACCACTTTGAAGTTGAAAAATCAGCAATAATGCCGGTAAACTGGACCTTCAAACCTCATATTATAATTATTACAATTATTTTTATTTGTGCCACTTCTTCTTCTTAGCGTTTTTAGTCAAAATAATCTAATCTGCTGATTCTATCATGGCTATTCTCAACATCAAATAAGATATGAATGTTTTAAAATATTTACAAAAATAATTCTAGTTTAGGCCAGGTTTGATCATAGTCTATGCTTTGACTTAAAACTGTCAGAATTTATATGATAGTTTTAGAGACATTGGCGTGACGTGAGTTAACAAATTTAAAATAAATAACACCAAAGTATACTTTTCTGACCGAAGATCATTTATACCATGTCTATTTACTATGTGTCATCTTTAATATTTACAGTTAATCACGCCTGTCAATATACGAATGTCAGTATACTCGTATCAGCATCTGAAAATTTGCACATTCTGCCGAACCAAAAATAACGAACATGCAATTTATCTTTGGCTATAGCGTAATATTTTCATATTTTTTGCGGGTATTTTGGGAGTTGAAAAACTATGTCACGGACATATTTACTCTCTATTCTTCTCTGAAAAATCATCTTTTCAACTGGAAATCCACTTTTCTTAGCTGTCTTAAATAGTTCTTCTCGCTGCTCTCATTTGTGCCCACCCACACTTACTCCGCTATCTTTGAAAACTGTTTCAAATATTCTGCTTTTTCGGGGCTGCATGTCTGCCGTTGTTCTTTTGTTTTTTATATTTGTGTTCTACCCTCGCCCGCTGCTAGGTAGGTTACGCATGCGCAAGTAGATTATATCGCGTCTGACGGTAATTCGGGAACCGGGAATTGGTAGTTTTTATTTATGCAAGCATTACTAATATACCGGATGTATCATGGTTTTGAATCTGATTATACTAGTAATAGGAATTTCGATCTGTTCACTCCATATACACACTCGCTGATGTTATTTGTAACAGACCGGAATATGCACACTAAAACCAGAGAACACTGAACGTGAAATTAAAATGTCACAATTTTACGCGCAACAACGCAGAACTTATGGCGCATACTCAATTTCCCTACACATGAGTAACTACGGCGCATGCGCAATTTCATTACACACAAGAACTACAGTCATTTGCATTATTTATCAGTACCGTCATGTGGTTTGAAAATACATGCTTTTCTAGGATATATTATTTGCTGCCTAGTTTTTACCTTACTTTATTTTAAATATACTAGTGCTTAGTGTTTTTTTCCAACTCATTAACCTTCCTGCGATAATAAAAAAACACGCGTCCTTCAGTTGTGGGAGCAAATGACTGTCTGCCATATGACGGCCATGGACGTTTCTTGTTTGTTGGTATGTCGTGCATTTCCGTATTTGCTCGATTTAGAGAAATTTATACAAATACAAAAACACCGTTTTGGATATCGTATTCGAGAGATTGATGTGATAAGTTATGATTTCATGTTATAAATAGATTGACAGGAAACTAGTACAGCGATTTTGTAATGTGGTTTTGAAGAATATAGTCTAATATGGGACAGTTTTTTTTCCTGGTTGTTTGTTGCACCACGTCGTGTACAACATGGGTCCCATGCGATGTGTATATCGTACGTAGAGTACATTGTTTACATGACATTCGAACACGTGTGCTAATACCAGTAATAATCACGTATGTTTTTATTCGACATTGTACACACTGAGTATTCGACATTGTACACACTGAGTATTTGACATTGTACACACTGAGTATTCGACATTGTACACACTGAGTATTTGACATTGTACACACTGAGTATTCGACATTGTACACACTGAGTATTTGACATTGTACACACTGAGTATTTGACATTGTACACACTGAGTATTTGACATTGTACACACTGAGTATTTGACATTGTACACACTGAGTATTTGACATTGTAGACACTGAGCATTGCTAACGCTCGCACATCCTAGTACTAGACACTAAAACAGAAACAATTTCCATGTTTAACAGCAGCTGACGTGAAAACAAAACACAGTGATAACTATACAAACGACGTGATGGTCCTACAAGCACATTGTTGTAGCCAATTCATAAAAAAATGTTCACAAAAATAATGTACACCTCAAATATCAAAGCAATCGGGTTGGAACTTCACAAAATTCACAAATATATTTTTTTAACAAAAATACTTGCTCAAAAAAAAGAGAATTGGAGATATCGGCAAAAAAGAACCAATCTGATAGAGGTCCACCAAGGTATCTCCATAACAACTATCAAAACAATTGAGCTGATAGTTTCTAAGAAGAAGTCAGAATGCAATTGTTGATGGACGACGGACGGAAGGATGACGACGGACAATCATCTACATGAACAGCTCCACCCTGTCATCTATGATGACAGTGAAGCTAAAAACCAGTGTGTGTACGCAGCAGATAATATCGATGGAAAATAATAGCATCACAATTTATAACCTTTTTCAGTTTATTCGACAACGTAGAATATGTGATGCCAGAAAGGTTTTAGTAGCACGTGAATGGTTGATGTTTGCATTGTCATCGGCATTTATCAATACTCTTTACATACGCATTTAGATGTGACACTGTGTAATATATACTGTACCTCAGAGTCTGGTCACTGTGTATATAATCAATGTAATGCTTTGCTTCCATTGATAGTTTGGATGGATAATTAACTTTCCTGTTTCATTTTTGAGATGTATTATAACGAGTGCTGTCTAAATCTTCGCTTACCTGACTGACTTATTGATCTATCTATAAATTTGATATATTCGAGTGTTTTACGAAATTGTGTATAAAACATCGCATTTACATATATAATACATCCATCAAAAACAAATACTAGTACGTGAAATTACGAGCTAAACTTCTCGAAGGAAGGAACATGAAGTGCTTATAGCGTTAGGGTAATAAACAGCAACCTTCATCTCGCGTGAGAAATATTGCACAATGATCTCAAACAAAACAAATAAAAATATCTATCAAATTATATATAATTCACTCAAAGACTGCGGAAGTAGGATATGATCGCCAGAAATACGCCCGCATTGTTAATTTACTTTTTAATAAATAGAGTGTTATTTGTAATAACGTTTTCAGACACGCTTAGTCGATTCGTAAGTCTTGCCACTACCGCATATATATATACATATCGTCATTGAACTCGTATCCTCATTGGCATTTTGATAATATGACAATATAATAAAATATAGATAAAAAGGAAATCACGACCGACAAAAAAAAATTGACGAGAATTGAGTAAATTTTGTTTTCGAGGCAGCTGATTGTCTGGCTTTTA